CCGTGGGGGGCTACGATCACGCGACCAACCCCAAGTCTGGACTGGCGGAAGACAAACGAGCAGCTATCGATGTGGCAATCTCGCGGGCAGCCATGCAAAGTCTTGTAGTACATCTTCGGTGGATAGAGGGAGCCAGCCAGCTGACAGAACTCCTCACCAAGCGGAAGGGCGAGAGTTCATTATTACGCCACGCATTAGAGCAGGGCGAGTACGGCATCAACGCGGACAGCATCTTACCACGGCGCCGCTACCGCAGGAGAGAGCCAGCCGAAAGCAGAAGGAGCTAGCGTACTGCACCTGCCTGACCGACTGCTGCTTCACATGTTTAGATTTCTACAAGATGGACAGCACGGGAGCCCAGCAACAGAGCAACGAGAAGGGAGATTGCAATTCCGAGCCCGAGGCCTACAGGAAGCTCAGACAGGCCCCGCTGGCCTCTGAGGAGCAGGAGACACCGCGATAGTGCCAGGAGGTTCGAGGAGTGCAACGGGCTCTGAGCAGTAGAGTACAGCCAGTGTGATTCTACAACGACCTCGGAGTCTTTGGGGGGCCTTTAGGAGCATCCCGAGGCCCTTCAGGAGCTGGCAGAGCGGAGCCCAGAACCTGAACCATTTTCCTTTACCGCTGTTTCGGTTCAGGGAAAAGGGGGCCTGTCGGCCTCCTTTCAGGAGTGTGATCGCTCGGTACTGAAAAGAGCTCGCCACACCATCCTTCTGCGCCCGTCGCGGTTTCGAGGTCTCGACAACGCATGCTAGCATTCGAGAGTCCACCCACAGAAGGAATGGAGCAGGAGGAGGAGGACGACAACGCAACGCAACGCAACGCAAAAACCATACGCCACAAGCGCGTTTGCGAGAATGGCAGCGAAGGAGGAGGAGCAGCAACAGGAGGAGGAATGGGGGAGGAGGAGGAGGAGGAGGAGGAGGAGGAGGAGGAGGAGGAGGAGGAAGCGAAGGAGGAGGGGGAGTAGGAGGAGGAGGACGAGCGTAAATCAACGATGCTGCAGTAAACCTTTTTCCCGAGTTCCCTCTTCGCCGGCTCCTACATGGATTCGTTTTCACTGATGAACATGCCCCGCTGGAAGACAGCCGTTTGAACATCTGGAACTGTGCCAAAACACCATCCTTGGGACTTCGACGCCGCGAATTACGGTTACTGTTTCGTCTTGACAATCCTGAATCGTGCCAAGACATTGTTCTTGGGGCTTAACACTGCGAATCAACGTGACTTGTGCGCCCTGACATCCCGACGTCGTGCCGCAACATTATTTCTGGGACGCCAGCCACGAAAATCCCCAAAAGTCTTGCAAATTCTTGAGACGAATGTGCGCGGCGCTAAAACGAAAATCACATGTTGACAAGGAGCCGCCCCCGCATCCATGAAACCCTTGCGAACTTTCTTAACGAATGTGCGCGGCGCAAAGGCGAAGGCCATATTTTGATAACGGGCCGCCCCCTGGGACAACATTGGCTTTATTCCCCATCCATCCTGCGGTGTTGGGTCCTCGCTTTGAAGAGACAGTGCCCAGCGGTCTCCCGCCTCCTTCCTCCTGCCTCCTCCCTCCTCCCATCCTTGCCCCCGCCTTCCGCAGCAGTCACCAATTTCGGCACACACACAGACGCACACTTCACAAGCAGCCAGCAATTCCGGCACACCTCACACGCTTCGTGACCCCATAGGGAGCTCCACCGAGGGCCCCATTGGCTGCGTTCGCATGGCACCATCGCACCCATGTCGGCACACCGTCACACACACAATTCGAGGCCCAATAGGGAGCTCCACCGAGGGCCCCAGTGGCTGCGCTCGCATGGCACCACCGCACCCATTTCGGCACCCCTCACACGCTTCGTGGCCCAATGGGGAGTTCCACCGAGGGTCCCAGTGGCTGCGCTCGCATGGCACCACCGCGCCAATTTCGGCGCCCCTCACACGTTCTCATGGCCGTATAAAAGGGGGCTCCATTGAGTGCCCCAGTGGCTGCGTTCGCGTGGCACCACCGCGCTCAATTCGGCACACCCCTCACACGCTTCGTGGCCCAATGGGGAGTTCCACCGAAGGTCCCAGTGGCTGCGCTTGCATGGCACCACTGCGCCAATTTCGGCACCTCTCCCACGCTTCGTGGACCCATATGGAGTTCCACCGAGGGTCCCAGTGGCTGCGCTCACACGGCGCTACGGCACACACGCACACACCACACTCGTTTGCATGCGCACATCGCCCCTTTTCTCCCGCACATACCTCACACGTTTCGTAGCCCCAATTGGGGTTTCCATCGAAGACGAGATTCACTATTGCATTACCCACAACCGCGTATGGTTGGGTCTTTCGTCTGGCTCATTACAGCGAGTGTGCGCGGCGGTAAAGCGATAGTCACATGTTGACATGGCACCGCTCTCCATCCGTGAAGCTCTTGCAGATGTTTAAGGCGAGTGTACGCGGCGTTACGGCGAGAGCCATATTTTGAAGGCGGACCGCCCTCCATCCGTGAAATTTGTGCACATTTCAAGCTTCAGGATCATAAGTGCTGAGGAAGTCTCAGGTGAAACGCCCAGCCCGTCCTTTCGACCGGCCTCGGGGTGCTACGGGGAAGAGCTGTTCATCAGGAAACGATTGGAGGAGCAGCAGCAGCAGCAGCAGGAGGAGCAGGAGGAGCAGCAGGAGGAGGAGGAGGAGCAGGAGGAGGAACAGGACGAGGCGGAGAAGGAGGAGGAGGAGGCCGAATGCCCCCCCTTGCCGCACGGCAGGAAGGGGGCACAGGCTTCGGGCCGGGACAGGCCGACACAGCCTTTAGCAGCAGCAGCAGCAGCAGGAGCAGCATGAGGAGGGAAACGGAGGTCCAAAGCCTCCAGGAACTCTGGAGCCTCGGGGTGCGGGCGCGGCAGCAGAGCGCAGGAACGCGACGGGGAGGGGCTGCAGGAGTTTTGCGGGGGGGTGCTCGGAGGGCCCAGAGGTCTTCAGAGACGGAGGAGGGAAGCGGTCGGCCACGCGTGGGTGTGACCTTTCGTCAGGGTGACCTTTCGCCGGAGTGAGCGTAAGGGCCCGCACCCAAGTGCGGTGCGGGCCCACAAGCGTCCCCTCGGCAATGATCAGTCCTGGCAGTCCCTGCTGGACTGGGGTGACCGTCGGATCCAAGATTTCGTTGTCGATTTTGTTGGCGGGCACCGTTCAACCCTTCAGGACAGCCCAGCGCTGTCAAATTTTGCGCGGCGGTTGCACGACGACGGCGGTTGCGCGAAAGTAGCTTGTTTGAAACCATTAATGTTCTCCGCGGTGAAACTAAAGTAGAGTGGAGCTGAACGCGAAATGTTAGTTTCCAGACCACGTTTGTGATTTCTTTTGAACAAATTGCCCCTGCATCGCAAAGGTATGTTCATGATTTCAGAATGTATCCGTTTATTTGTTTACGTTTTGTCGATTTTAACTGTTCGGTGTGTTCATTGTTTAGAGCTCTTGGTCAACATAGACCGTGCGGTCAGTCAATCGAGTTTCGGCTGTTGTCAGAATTTCGTAAGCGGGAGGTTACTGGTTGAACCGAGATGTCGTTGTTATTTCCAAGGGGTGTTTACCCTTGAAGACTAGGTGTGTGTTGTCGTTGTTTTCTTGTGTAATCGGTGTCACAAGAGTGTGCCGGGAGTGATCAGCAATGGCTGGGGCGTTTGGATTTGGTCTCCTTGCGGCTCCCTCAAGCCGCGCACCAAAGGTCACCCTTGCCTCGGGTCACTCCTGCATGTAGCCGAAATAGAGGGAATAACAGACCCAGAATGCATCAGGGAACGTGCAGTCCCGTCCGAAGTCACCTCGCAAGTCCCATTAAGCCTTTCTTCTCACTGCAGGAAGCGCCCCCTTGAAAGATGAGAACCCTCTGTGCCTGCCAGTCAGGCGAAAGCCCATGATGGAAAGGAGCTATGTTGTATCCTTCTATCGAAGGATAGGGACTGCGAGGAGGTGGCCCCGTCGGGTGCCACGAAGTGTCAAGCGGGGGGCCCGTTCTGGGGGGCTGCCGCCCCCCGTCGGTGAGGCCGGTGTCGTTAGGGGGGGTGCCGTTCGGCTCGAAGGAGTGTAAGGCGAGAGCTCCATTTTGAAAAGGGATCGCCCTTCTTGGAACTTCAACACCGCTAATCAGCGTAATTGTTGCGCCCTGATAATCCTGAATCTCTTCAAAACACCATTTTCGATACGTTAACCATGATAACCAGTGAAGCTCTTTCAAATCGTTCGAGCGAATGCGCGCGGCGCTACGGCGAGAGCCACATTTTGAAAGGAGCCGCCCTCAATCCGCGAAGCTCTTACGCGCGGCGCTCAGGAGAGCCACATGTCGAACACGGCGTGCCCTCAATCCGTGAAATTCTTGCGACGTTTTGCAGCGAATCTGCGCGGCGCTAAGGCAAGAGCTACATATTGATGAGCACCCGCCTCACATCGCGTGAAATTCTCAACATGAATGTGCGCGGCGCTGAGGCGAGAGCCACATATTGAAAACCACCCGCCTCGTGAAACCCTTGCACATCTGCAAAACAAGTGTGCGCGGCGCTGAGGCGAGGACTACGTTTTGAAAACCACCCGCCCTCTATCTGTGAAGCTGTTGCCAGTGTTTCAGCTTCAGGCTCATAATTGGTAACGAAGTCTCAGGCGAAATGTTCGGCCCGCCCTTTCGACTGCCCTCAAGGTGCGACACGAATGAGTTGTTCATCGCGAAAAGCAATGGTGAATAGGGAGGAGGAGGAGGAGGAGGAGAAGGGGAGGAGGAGGAGGAGGAGAGTAAGGAGCGGGTGGAGGACGTGTCAGTCAGGAGGAGGAGAAGGAGGAGGAGGAGAAGGAGGAGGAGGAGGAGGGGGGTGAGGGAGGGAGGGAGGGAGGGAGGGAGGGAGGGGAGAGGAGGAGGAGGAGAGGAGGAGGAGGAGGAGGAGCAGCAGCAGCAGGGAGGCGGAAGGGATGCAGACCGCGGGTCTGTTCCCGCGCCCCCCCCCCCAAGTCCCCAAGTGAAGGAAGAACACCCCGACCCCGATCACTGGCGTTTGCTAAGCGGACTTGGGCGTTTACTAAACAGCCCTTCCCTCTTCGATTTCTTCCTTGGGTGCGCTTACTGCATGGCTTCGCTTGTCGGGGTGCTCCAAGACCCCCCCCTGCCGCCATGGCCGCTCTTCGCCGAGGCGCGCGGGCCCTATGGGCGCAGCTCGGCAG